GGGGGGGGGGTATTTAATGGAGATGGAGCTTCTGTTTGAGAGGATGAGAAAGTTCTGGAAAGGGATACTGGGAATGGTTTAGAGCAATGTGACTGTACTTAATGTCACTGAACTGTATGCCTAAACATGGCGTAAATGCTAAATGTTATGTTATGTAGGTTTTGCCACAATTTTTTTAAAAAGAAGCAAACACAGAGATAACCCTACAAACTAACAATATCCTGTAACAAGGGCTTTCTTTCGGGGTTAAATTCACCAGCTATATATATATATTAGAAGTCTTAGGATCCTGGGTTTAGGGAATATCACTAAGTCACCTTCTCCCCCTTTAAAGAATGCAACTAGTAGATGAGACTGTATTAAGTATGAAAGCGATAAGTTGGCTTGTGCTTCCCCAAATCAGAGCACCTTCACCTAAAATAAAACAGAGAATGTGAGTTTTGCCACTGAATAATCTCTCATGTAGTTAACTGTTATTAAAGGAGAGCCCTGGGCAGGTGGCTCAGTTGGCTGGAGCATCGTCCTGTGCACCAAAAGGCTTCAGATTCAATTCCCAGTCAGGGCACACACCTAGGATTCGGGTTTGATCCCCAGGCGGGCTGCAAATGGGAGGCAACGGGTTGATGTTTCTCTCTCACATGGATGTTTCTCTCTTCCTCTCTCTCTTTCTCTCCCCCTTCCTCTCTCTAAACATATACTTGGGTGAGGATTGTTTTTTAAAAAGTGGAAAATGTGCCACTTCTTAGAAGACACACAACTGCTGCTCTGTGGCACACAATGAACCTAACATTGAAAGTTTTTTAAAAAGCTGAGAACCACGTAGCTATAGAAAAATGACTGCTATTATGTTATTGTTCAAGAATGGGTCTTTTTGCCCGGCCGAGCATGGCTCAGCAGTTGAGCATCCCCCTAGGATCCAGGAGATCTCAGTTCGATTCCCGGTCAGGGCACATGCCTGGACTGTGGGCTCAATCCCCAGTTGGGGATGTGCAGGAGGCAGCTAATAAATGACTCTCTCATTATTGATGTTTCTATCTCTCTCTTTCTCCCTCTCTCAGAAATCAATATATATATTTTTAAAAATAATGGGTCTTTTATAGTATAGAATATATATATATATACAGGACAGGGCAAATGTAGGTTTACAGTTGTTCCTATGGAAAATAATACTATAAATACTAATACAAAAATAAACTGTTTTCCTGCTCTCAACTGTAACCCGACTTCCGCCCCACACTGTGACTGTAACACCCGCGTGCAGCACTGTTCTATACTGCCCAACACAGAAGAGTAGCTGCAATCCATAGCGGAGGGCAAAATATTTTATCCGTTCACTGATTTTTAACCTCAAAGTTGATGAATATCTAAATCCCCTCCCTCCCCCACCCAAAAGCATTTTTAAAATGTTTAGGCCCTGGCCAGTGTGGCCCGGCTGAGTCCCTCCAGGGCACCGAGTGGCGGCTGGTTCCACTCCCATCAGCGCCCAGGCCTGGGTAGCAGGCTCCACCTTGGTAGGGGGCGTGCGGGAGGCAGTCCCCCAAGTTTCTTCTCTCCTTTTCTATTCCTCTCTCACTCTCTCGAAATCAATAAAAACATTTAAAAAAAATGTTTACTATGCACTGACCTGTAATTTTTCCTCTTACTCGCTCACCATCTTAAATAGATTATTACCACAGTGTCGTCAACGGCTAGTTGTGGTTAAAATTTCCATCTTAAATAGAATTTTAACCCAGATGTTTTTTCAATTTATATCAGTAAACTAGGAAGTGAGAAGCCCCTACGATTTAATAACACGGCCCTTCCTTAAGTAATAGTGATCTTCCAGCAAATAACTGATCTCCAAAACACTGTCTTTTCAATAGGTTAACTTGCGATCTTAAAAGGGCAGAGAGGTTCCAGCTTGCAGCGACAAGCAGCAGCAATTAACCTGGAAGCATAAATATTACAGCACGGTTGCAAGGATACATGCAAAATCCTACTTGCCCTGGGGAGCTCAGCACGACGCCAGGCAGATCGGAGAGCAAAGTTCCCCGGGGAGCCGGCCTCCATCCTTCCCCTGTCTGGGCTCTGAGGCCCCGCGAGCATCCTCAGCTTCCTGCTTCCGCAGCCTGAACCCCCGCCCCCGCGACCTCAGCGTGGCAGAAAAACCCGGAG